AAAGACACTCCGCTAATAAGGGAATTAAAACCCACCCTAAATGATAATGTAGCAGCGAAAAGCTTTATCTCTATTAGTTTGCATTTTTTATATACAAATGTTTCTCAGCTTCTGTCATTGTAATTGTTAATTAGTTACTTATTTTAAATTGAAATTTAGTTGTTACTTCTATTCCTAACGGTCACTTCTGAAGACGTATGTCGAAACATACGAAACGTCAAGTAAATGAACTTTGTTTTTTAACATGCGTTTTATTGCCATGTTTATCACCGCAGTTTGCGTGTTACTTCTTATCAAGCTACGATGGCCAAAGAAAAAGAGTATTGAAGCAGTGTTCTTGAAACTTGGCACCACAAACGTGTATCATAAAAGCAACAAAATGACACCCTTAGGACCCTTAGTCTCTTTCTGTTAAAAAAACAAATATCCCCATTTGCAACCTCTAAAGTGAGACAAAGGGTCCTACTTGGAACAGACAGTTCCCAGATTGTATTAACTCCCATCATTAGATTGGGTGGAGTAGATGGTTCTTGGTTTCAGACAAAAACTGGGAATTTCAGTTTTTATTAAGACAGCACCAGCGACAAAAACTGTTTTCATGGCAACAGCACTAAGGGTGTCATTTTGTTTTTTTCGTGATGCCCATTTCTGGTGCCAAGTTTCAAGAACACTGCTTCAATCTTTCCAGAGATAATAATCTAAATTTGCAACTAAAACTACGAAAAGAAAACGTACAAATACTCTCATTCTTCGCAAAGAAACTACCTAAAAGATCGATATTTTACAGAACTTGACATGGACGAGGAAGACGAACATTTATCAAGCGAATTTTATTATCCTGAAGATCTGGAAACGTCTGGTGTAGAAAGTGAAACAGGCGTCAGCGAAAGTCAGAAGGCCATAGACGATTTTTATATAAACAAACAGAAAAGTGCATACACAATTAAGAAGACAGCTACTGATATGAACAGTCCTCTCCGCTACATGGAAGCTAACGGTGTGACAAAAGAAAGAATTGAAAGCCTACCTGCGTCGGAGCTTGACCAGCTTTTGTCCAGATTTTTTCCGAACACACGCAGGAATAAATGGAGAAGAGTACGAGCTAGCAACAATTTCCAGTTTCCAGCGCACTATACAGAGATACTTAACTGAGAAGAAATATCCATTCAACATACTCAAGGACAATGAGTTTGAAAAATCGAGAAACGTACTAGCTTTTGTTTTTTCTTTTTAGATATCGTTTTCTTTATTTTTATCGTCATAATCAATTATAATCCCTATTTAGTGCTGTCTTTGTCCTTCAATCTCTTTTTTTTAATCGTAAATTAATTACATATACAATAGTAACATTACTTACCCTACTAACACTTCTTACAATACTAGCATTACCTACAGTACTTACATTATACTAATATCGTAATACCCCTTATATCGCTTACACCGTTGCTGACATTAAGTAA